CAATTCTCCATTTTTATTAAATATAGTATTTACATATTTCATATCACTTATATGCATGCTTGCAATTCTGTTCCTCTTCTGAGAAACTTTATATGCATTTGGTAAATAGTTGTTGATGGCATTTATTTTTGTACTTTGGAACATTTCCAGGTGGATGGGATCTGTCAGAAGCATCAATTATATGAAGAGTTGATCTACTAAGCTTCAGTAGAACTCTTTTGTTATTATCAAGAATGAAGACCTTCTGTGAACAGAGCATTGTGTTTAATACAAATCAATATATACACATTTAATGTGCATGTATCTATAGAATAAATGTCCCAGGCTCTGGAATTGAGAGCTATACTAATGAAAATGGAAGAGAAAGCTACACAATGGCTATGGTATGTTTACTCATACTTTACCAAAATAAAATTCTAGTAGCAGTCAGTATGGAATGGCTAATAAATTAGTAGAAATGGTAGATTACAAACAACAAGTGGCTGATAAAATTATTTCAAGATAAACAAAAGGGTGGTTGAGAAAATTTTGGAGAGATGCTGGAAAGAAATTAAGGACCTCCCTAAATAGACACACATGAAAATTATGGAACTTCTCTTGGAATTGAAGAGCAAAGAACAGACTCAACACAAATGGAGGGAAAGAGTAAAAAATGCTGTGAGATTTAATCCAAAGACAGAAAACAGAATAATTCACTTATAAAATAATAGTCATTAATCCAGGACCAGTTCTGAGCCACTATCATTTGAGTATCCTAATTTTCTCTTAATCCTACATTTACCAATTTTCTTCAAGAAAATCAGTCGCTCGCTTGGTGGCATATACCAGATGACTATCTGAGGAATACAAGAAATAAAAGCTTCCCACCCACAGTTAAACAGCTTGGCTTAAAAAAATAGCTCTTCATGGGAGAAGACAAACAAAAACAAACCTAATGAGCATTAGCCCAATTAGAAAAATGTATGTTCAATTAATTCCATCAATCTGTCTTTGTCACATAAAGGCAGAGCACTATGAACAGAAGATAGAAATAATAATAAAATTCAAATAATAAAAATTCAACTTGGTTAAACATTGTAAAAATGATGTCATTTAGACTTGGTATGGTTGGTGTTATGCCACTATAATCCTAATACTTATATAGATTAAGTAGGAGGATCAGAAGTTTGAAGACAGCCTGGATAGCAGAGCAATATTCTGCCTCTAAAATGAAAATAAGAGACATTCTAAATTAACATTTGATGCATTTCTAAATTGTGTGATTCTTGTTTGGATTGGATAACTTGCTAATTTGAAAAATAATGTCATTTGTTTCTAGAGCAACAAAATAAATATAACCATATACAGAGTCCATCAACTCCATGTAATTTTAATTCACAAGTACATTATATATTGATAATGAGTTAATTGTTATATATTAATGCTGGTACTAGTTTTTCAATAAATGAAGCCATTACTAAACTTTTTGCAGCTAAAAAAACAGACATAGGAAAACTACTCTGCACCAACAAAGGAATTAGACTGAGTCAAAAGATTTGCCACTTGGCCCTAATTTTACCACTCTCAGGTTGATGAATTCTCTTGATATCTCTGGCTTTAGTTTCCTTATCCAAAATGAAAGTATTGCTTTTATTTGCTGCTTTTTCAAATAGGTTGAATGGGTGTAAAGATTAAACCATGAGTCTTTTTCATATGGTCTTCTGTTCCAATATTTCATGCCATATTGTTTACTCTGAGGATTACTAGAAATTAATAGTCATGTTTTTACTAAACTAGACTGGTCTGAATAATATTTTTGTGGCCATGATAAAACTCCACAAATCTCTAGGGTTAGAAAAACCACAGTTATCAAGATCAAGATCTATTAAAGGACATTACTTATCAGAGAAGAAAGGGGAATCAATATACTGCCACTTAGAAATTGATTTAATAGACATTACAGAGAGATTTCATGTCTAAATGGAACCCTGTTTGTTAGCCTTGTAAAGTTTCTGAATAGACGAGCTTTCTTCACATCCATCTGCATGTTTAGGCAACATGACCTACTAAAATAATTTTACCACAAATTTAATTTACCATTAAATTTATTATTAAATTTATTCAATTTAATTGAACAAATTAGAATCTTTAAAAAATTTATTATGTCAGTATGTATTGATTCTATATGGAGAGATATCTTGCCCAGCCTAGACGCAGGGGTGTGAGGGTGAAGAGGTGACTTGGTCCTGCCTCAATGAGATGATGGGACAGACTTGGTAGATTTCCTAGGGTAGGTCTTACTCTCTCCGAGGAGCAGATGTGGGGTAATGGGGGGAGTAGGAGGAGTGGAGGGTGGGGGAGCTGGCGGAACTAATTCCTTTCTTGGTACAGAGTAGTTTTCCAATGTCGGTTTCTTTGCTGCAAAAAGGTTAGTAATGTAAAAATAAATTAATTTTAAAAAGAAAATAAATTTTAAAAAGCATGTTCAGATAAGAGTTCTAATGTTTTCCTCTGAAAGAGTGGCTCATCCCATTTTATGCTTTGTTCAATAGGGGAAAAGAATCTAAGATGGTATTCAATGTATCCCTTTGTGCAGTACATATTTTAATGCATATATTTTATGGTCACTTGTGAAGAAGTATTCTATATTACTTGCTTTGCACTAGAAAATGAATTAAACTTAGTAACTCCAACACTCAATTAAAAGAACTAATACATTGTTTCTCTGATATGTTGATTTAAAATGAAATATCCAGAACATTTCAACATAAGTTAAGGAAATTTAGATAGTAATACAAATAGAAGGTAATACAAACTACAAATTTTCAATACAAAAGTGCTTATTTAGTAAGGGTAAATGGAATAAAGCACTGATAGGATTTTTAAAACGGTTGTAATCTTATTAATTGATTTTCAATTAACACAAAAATTCATACATTTTGAAATAGCTTTTATTGGATTGTACTGAGTTTGTTAGCTAAATAGAACAGAATTTCCAACTTTCATAGTACAAGGCTGAGAAAAACAATCTCATACTTTTTGGTTAAAATTAAGTGAACAAAGACTCTTTAGATGACCAGGCAAGAAAAAAAAAATATTCATGGATGATGACAATGGGCAGTTGTCTGTTAGTAAGAGCTTTTGTTTGTCACCTAATGTGTCATTACCAGCTTATATTGGAATATGCTAGAAATGAAGAGAGGTATTCAGGCCCAACTCAAGACCTGCAGGAAACAAAGAAACAAAATCTAAATTTCACAAAGGTCTCAGTGATTTATACACATGCTCTGGGAAGCACTGTTTTACATTAAGTTTGAATAAGGAATGAGAGGAAAGAACTTTGAAAAAATGCTTAAAGTCATAACCATATTTTTCTCACTTAACTAGGCATATAACAGTTTGCATCACTACACATCATGCCAGGCACTGTGTGAAAACTATTGTACATATTGCCATGTGTCTTGCTATGAGGCTATGTGATGGCATCTACTACTGCAATTTTAAGAAAACAAATTCAAACCTGAGATTTACACAGGCATTTACTGTAGGAAGCAGCCTGGTTTGGGAACATGGTCTCTTAGTCATTTTATATGTATGGCTATTGTATGACTATTAGGAAATTCCACAATGCATCAAAATATATTTATTTTTTAAAACTCCAGAGCATATAGATTAATTTAAACAAAACTTCATTTTTTTAAAAAGTTGTGCCATAAATTTAACAAAAAGATAGCTAGGTACACAAAAATTAAGTTTCCTAGGCTTTCAAGATGATCGGTATCTGCCAATTAGTAATTTTTAAAATGGTTAAATGGGTAACCAGAAAATCAAACTATTTACAAATAATTTCTACTCATAAGCCAATCAATGTAAGGAAATTTGGTACTCATGAAAACCTAAGATACCAATTAATGTGGAAATTTCTGGTGATATTTTGCTCTAATCTGGATACCTTGAACAAGGAAGCCAAAAATAAGCATTTTATTTTTTCATTAACCACAGTTCTCGTATGGATAATAAAATAATGAGCAAAAGAGAGGGGTAATAAAACAGTGGCTGTCTGTTTGAATTCACATCAAATAGGATTAGGAATAGCTGGCATCTTCTGATACAAGCTGGGTATTTTGTATTTAATTAAACGGGAAAAGTTGTACGAGCCGGCTGCAGGGAATCTGGTGGACAGACTTCAGTTCTCACAAGGAAAGCAGACTAACTAGGAAAAGCTTCTGCTCCCTGCAGCCTCTCAACAATGCACACATCCTTTTTATCATTCACCGATTTTAGAGACATATGTAATCATTTCTTTACAGTCACGCTGACTTAATGGTCTTATAAGTGAGATAAATGCTTTGGGTTTATTTGATCAATATATTTGAATTATGCCTTCAGTGTCAAGAATCTGAGGGGGGGGTTCCCCCTATTCAAAAAGGCTCAAAGATGAACTATACGTTAATTTGCTTCCTTGCACCATCTAGTGGATTTAAATGACAACTGCGGCAATACTGTAAATAATTATAAATCAATCCTATAAGTCAGATTTTCGATCGTCTATGGATAACTATGGCTAAAATCGTTACTCGATCGATTCCACAACGGGGCAAGTCATTATTATTCCTCCTTTTCCGGAGGAAATCCCTTAAGCCTAGGTGAGCTCATTAGCGACTGTCTAAGTAGGTATGAAAGATAACACAGCATCGTTGATATCATTTCATGGACCGAGAGAACAACATGCATGATTGGGGTCTC